TGGGTGAAAGTTTACAGAGCAAATTCATTTTCCATACAGCAGTTCACATACACTTTGTTTCATGACATTGACTGCAATTTCCCACAGTGCAACAGCTCTCTTCCCACTTCCTCCCCATAGTTACCTCTTCCCTGTGTCCTTTCTTCCCATTCACTCCCGCCCTCGAGTTGTCTCCCTGTGCATACACAGACCTTCTATTCTCCTATGATTGTTCTCTCCAAGGAGTGTATATACCTAATGTAAATGTGCAGCTCATATGCCTGTCTTTTGTTTGGAGTAAGCCCACTCTTGCTGGACTTGGCCACATTGGCTTCTGGTTGGGAGTTCTGCTCCCCTGCTCTCATTGAACAACACTTTTAACTTTCCCCAGCCTGTTCCAGTTTGAAGAAAGGACACTTAGGACAGAGTGCTGGTCTTGGGTTGAGACTGGGGTTCTGCATTGGGATGCCATTCAGCTGTTATCCTGGTGCAGAAACACTGGGGGCTGACCTACCGTCTTGGGGGTCTCTGCAAGTGTCCAATGTGCTCAGCAAAATCTTCCCCAAGGCTCTTTTCGATATGTTCTTAAAAAGAAATGAGGATGATCTGGATCAGATGAAGCTGCCCTTTTCTCATTCAAAGGGGCCTGTCAGCTCCCTGGGGCAGTAAGGTCCCCCTCCCCCATTGCCTCTTCCTAGCTGCTTGCTGGGCTCCCCAGAGACACTTGGTAGTACCTGGAGAGTGTGCAGGATCCATTCTTTCAAAGATCACGTATTTATGTATTACTATCTTGACTGCTAACCAGAAGGCTGGTGGTTCAAATCCACCAGCCACTCCTTGGAAGGAAAGTTGGGCCATCTACTTCCGTAGTGATACTGCCTCAGAAACCCAAGGAAGGGGTCGCTATGAGTCAACAGCACATAACAACAACAACATCTTGGCACTTGGGAAATAACCATAACAGGGCACTTACATCCATTAACTAATTTAATCCCTGCAATAACTTTTCTTTGGAGGTCAAAGTTAGAATAGCTTCACGAAATAAGCTGGGGAAACTTCTCCTTCCTTTTTAGCTAACGTCTCTGAGCCTCCACTTCCACATCTGTATCAGGGAGGTGACACCTGTGTACTGTGAGAAGCACCTCCAGCCCAATGCATGACTCAGGCAAGGGCCCCTCCCAGGGCTTTGTCCCCTCCCTGAGTGCCTAACTCCCTTTAGTGAGCTTACCAGGGTCCGGAGCCTCTGCAGCAGCTGTAGCATGTCCACCAGTTTCTCCTCTAGCAGGGAAAGCCGCACTCGCTCTGTCTCCACCATCTGCAGCTCCAGCCTCAGGTGTTCATTTTCCTTCACCTTCTGCTGCAACTCTACCTGTGGGGACCAACGGGCTCAGTGCTTGCAGCTGCCTTCTCACAACCCTACGCAAGGCCCATGGCCAGTCTCGACGTTGTCTGGCTTCTTTCTCAGTGGTCATCTCACCTGGTCTCCTACAACCTGCTAGGTGGCCAGGACAGATGAAACCAACACTGCCCCATGCTGGAGACCAAGAAAAAGACCCCCAAAAGAACATGATTGCAAGGCACATGTTCAAGAGATGACAAGGCCTCGCTTATGGTTGAATGTTTGCTTTAAGAGCTGGCAAGGTCTCTCTCACTGTTAAATGCTTCATTGGCAAAACATCAAGTATTAAAAGTAGATGTTATTCCAGTAGTCCATGTTTTTATCTTATTGGGATGTTTTATACTTCGGGTCACTGTGTCCTAGTAAACATTTATTGTTTTACATTCCTTATTCCTGATGAGACTTCTGTGATTGTTTTAATGACCACCCATTGTCCTTGAGCACTTACAGGAGTAAAAGTTTAACTCTGTAGAGAACAAGCTGATTGTATGGATTCCAAGACTAATGATGTAATCATGTACAAACATATAAATAAAGTAGAACAAAGGCATCAGGCATTGGTTGCTCTTGCAGAATATGCAGGGCGTCCGCCTAGCCCCATTCCTTTTAAATGAAAAAGAAAACCATTAAATCCTTTCATGTCACTTCATTTTGTGACCTGTGCAGTTTTGCCAGATGTGGAAGCCCCCTTGAGAACAGCACTGAGGCCCAGAGGGTCTGAGTGCCTAGCCTAAGGCTGAACAGCAAGTCAAGCTGATGTAAGCACATGTATATTTTATTTCCTATTCCAAAGACTCTATTCTCCCTTCTCTTCTCTGTCAATCTAGTTTCTTTTCTGTTCTTTAGAACTGTTTTGATTGCAAGCAATAGAAACCAATCTGGCTAGCTTACGCAGCAGGAAATTTACTGGCAGGCTCACAGAGAGGACTGGCAGCTGGAGGACCTCAGGAATGGATAGCCAGGGGGATCAAACAGCAGGAATTTCTCAAGTTCCTTGTTCCAACAAATTCCCCCACCCTGTGCCTGAGTCTGAGAGCCAAGGAGAGGGGCCTGATTGGCCCACCTTGGCTAGGAAGTGAGACAGTCCCACCAGGATACAGGAGAGGGTGTCACACAGTCACACCTGCAAGGACATGTGCAAGGAGCTGGACAATCTTGTACTTGGTACCGATGGAGGAAAGTGTGGGCCTTCAGGTGCTCATGGTCACACTCGGTTCTAGGTAGGGGGAGAGTAGGCCAATGCCTGCCCCATTGCAGATGGGACTGGAGGGTGGGCTCAGGACTCAAGGGCCTTCCCAGCCATACATCTCAGGAATTGTTTAATTCTGTCACTTCTCTAGCCCCTGGTTTCCTCAAAATCTACTTAGAAAAGGGGTAGTGGCTGTGTCCTTGGAAAGACTCTGCCTGTCATTTTATTTCAGGAAGACTAAGAGTACCATGTTTCACACATACAGTCCCCCCTCACTAGCCACAAAGGGTGAATATTCTGTGAGGTGTCATGATCAAGGCTTCAAAGAAAACAGAGCCATGGTGTTGAGGATATAATAACATTAAACATATAAAATCAGTACAACATAGAAGAGCACTAAAAGGTGTCTACTTCCTAACATATTTATGGTGTACTCACAATAAGTGTTAACCCATTTGATGCACGTAGCATGGTACAATTATTATGTCCATTTTTTAGATGAGGAAACTAAGGCACAGAAAAGTTGAAGAACTTGCCCAGGGCAACAGAGCTAGGATTTGAACCCAGGCAGTATGACTCAAGGTGAGTAACCTTTCTTCTGAATTAAATTTTTAGATTCTTCAGGGGCTGTAATACTAGGGGTGCCCCACCCTGAGACAGAGGCCCCAGAAGTCAGAGGAGCTATACAGTGGGAAGGTGTGGACCAGCCACGCTGGCTTGCATTAAATGCATAATCTTTACCTTTGTTCAATTTATTGAAATGCTCAAGAGGCTGTTCTTTTCTGTCTTGTTTTTTTATTTCATATACTAAGAAAAGCTCTGGTGGCATAGTGCCTAAGGCATTTAACTGCTAACCAGAAGGCTGGCAGTTCAAACCCACCAGCCACTCCTTGGAAGGATGATTGGGCAATCTACTTTCATAGAGAAACCGCCTCAGAAACCCAAAAAGGGGTTGCTATGAGTTGGGACTGACTTGATGGCAGTGAGTTTGGTTTTTCTGGTTTTATCTTAAGAGGCTGGAGCCTAAACAGGCTCCCTCTCTTTTTACCCCCAGTGGCCCACCCAATGATCTCCAGAAAGAGAAAGCAAGTTTGAGGTGGCATAGTGCGGGAGTTAAGGTCACAGCTCTAAGCCCAGCCCACCTGGCCTTTCTCTCTGTGTTCTCACCTCTAAGATGGGCTCAAACATGTGGCCCATCCCTACCTCATCCAACTCTTTGAGGATAACATGAGACAGAGCCTGTCCAGAGCCTTGCACACAATTAGTGTGCTGTGTGTGTTAGCTGGTATGGTTTTCATAATTTAAGGAGAGAGGACTGTATCAGACCACAGATATGTTAAAAATAGGATGGATTTAGAATTTCAGGTATACAAATACAGTACTATCTTATATCAAAACCACAGTTTGCAAAAGTACAGCAGGCTATTGAGCATTGAGCTCTTTTAAGAACTATTTATATGGGATCAAATTGACAACAGTAACTTGAAAGATAAGATAGGAAACTTAGAGGACAGTGAGTTAATATTGATGGAGGTGGAACAATTCAAAAAAGGATGAAATGGTTGCGTAACTTGAAGAATGTCATCATTGTCACTGAATTGTACATGTAGAAATAGTTGAATTAGTCTACGTTCTGTTGCATATATTCTCAACAACAACTACAAAAAATAACTAAGTGCAGCAGGCTAGGAGTTCTATGGAATGGAATGATAACTTTTAATAGCATCTCATTTGGTTATTGTGAATAGATAAGGCACTATGAAGTAGATAGACTGGAAAAAAGTGGTCTCATTGAAATGCAGACACTTTGCTTGGGGCCTTCTTTTGGTGTTGCCTGCCTTCCCCTATTGGACTTGGAGTGGCACTTCCTTTCCTTAGGGGAATTGCTCCTCATCTCCTTCCTCTGACTGTGGTGGAGGTGCCAATCACAGAACTTTGCCCTCTCTCTGACCACAGGGATTAGCCCAGGGGTAGGTACATGACTGAGGCTGGGCCAATTGGAGTCCTTCCCTGAGATTTTGTGTACTAGGAGTAAAACTCTTATTTTCCTTCTGGGGTTTATTAGGTGGGCTGATGGAAGCCTAGAGCTATTTATGGTCCTGTTTTCCTTTCTTACCCTATGGGGAGGAAGCCCCTCTGGACAAGGGGAAAGTGAGGCTAGTACTCAGAGAAACACAGAGCTGAATGGGTAGAGACAATCTAATCTGAGTCCTTGGATTCATGGGTGCCTGAAGCTCATTGTTTCCCTGTATGTCTGTCATGTCTCCTCTCTGAGTCTGGGTTTACTTGGTTTACTCATCTGTGAATGGGGCTAAGCTCCCTCAGGTCCAGCCCTCAAACTCTGGGACCCAGCTGACCTCTTCCTCAGGTGTCCCCAGGGTCTTCCCGCTGCAGCCCTGGGTCCCCAGATGCTCCACCAGCATGGTGACGTAGGCCTCCAGCTCCCCCAGGGTGCAGGCATGATCTGCATTGCCAAAGTGGCCAAAGTAAGTCATGAGCTTCTTGGTGAGCTGGCCATCACACCTGCAGCAAAGGAGAGCACCAATGCTGAGGGAAGCTGCTTTCCATCATCTGCTGCAGTCTCAGAGAGAGGGCTTCATTACTGAATCTGTCTCCTCCTAAAAGCTGAGTCAGGTCACCCCCCTGCTTGACACCCTTCCATATCTCTCCCCTTGCTGAGAGGAAAAGCCAAAGGTCTCACCCACTCTGCCCCTGTGACCTCTCTCCCTCCCCTCCCCTCCCCACTCACTCTGCTCCAGCCATGGAGACCTCATCCCTGTTCCTTCAACATGCCTCAGGGTCTTTGCACATGCTATTCTCTCTTCCTGGAATGCTCTCCTCCTGACATTTGCACTGTATATTCTCTCACTTCCTTCCCATCTCTGCTCAATTTACATCTCAGGGAGGCCTTCCCAGAATCTCCCTGCAACTCACTCTGTCCCTTACCCATCTGTCATTCCTCATTGGAATAGAGGCTCCAGGGGAGGAGTCTCAAGACCCAAACAATTGCCTGGCACATAGCAGGTGCTTAATAAATGTTTGTTGACTTAAAGACTCAGTGATAGCAATAACCCTTGACAATCCAACATTTTACAGTATAATAAAAATCAATGCTGCCTCCAGTGGTGTACCACTATGTGCCCAGCACCTGTTATGCATTTTATATCCTTTATCTCAAATCCTCACAAAAGCTCCACAAGACAGATGTTACTGTCCCATCTCAGAGTCAAGGAGACTGAGGCTCAGGGTAGTTCAGCAATTCATCTGAGATGCTCTGAGCATCCTCAGCTGGAGGGGGGTTCATGAGTATTAAACAAGCTGATAGGTATGGAAGTGCCCAACCAGGGCCAGGTTGCAGGAGAGGCTGGAAAGAGTATTTGTTGTAAGAAACTGGATTAGGAAAGAATCTGCAGTGTCAGACTTTGAGGCATGTCTTGAAACAATGACTAAGTGGGTGTGAGGTCATCACAACCACCCACGAGGTATGCCCTTCCACCCCAGGTCGCTGAATCTCCACACACACTCCACTCAATGGATGAAGGGACAGAGCTGGGAATGGACCAGGTTGACCAGCCTCCCAAGTCCAGGCTCTGTTCAAGTGGTGGCCTGTGCATGCAGGGCCTGGATATTTGCCTGGCACACGCACCCACTCTTGCAGCCAAAGAGGCCTGCCAACAGCTTCTTGACTTCGGCTACTGGGGGCTTCTGCTCTTCCCTCCATTTCTCCTTGTCATCTTCCTCCTCATCTGAGGCGGCTTGGCCCTCCACGGAGCGGAACAGCTGCTCATCTGCTGGAGAAGCACAGGCACGGAAGCAAAGCCAAGCGCTAGGACAAGGGTGGGGAGCCATGAAGCATCCTCCCAGGGGGAATGGGGTATGGGTAGTCAGGGGAACTCTGGGGTCCTCTCCTACCTCCTCCAGATGTCTGTTCACACCCCACTCCCTATGGTGGTACCAGCCACCATGTGACTGTCCAGGCATGAGGCTGGGCCTACCACACTCTCCCTGGGACTGTACATAGGGCCACTGGGAAAGATAGTCCAACAGCCTGGACCTTAGTCTCAGAGGTAAGCACTACTTCCATGGCAGTCCCAGCTGGGGAAGGCCAAGCTGTATCTTAGGAGATGGAGTCAGAGACCAGGGCACCAGGTCAAACCAAGTTTCAACTTTCAAGGAACTGAATACTTCTAACCTTTGAGGATATGTAGAGGAAGGGGGTGTCATAAATGTGACCATCTGTGTTCCCCCAACTTGCTTTGCCTTGGGCAGTGGTTGCCAAACTGACTGAGCCTTAGAAAACCCTTAGGTCTGCTGTGGTCATCTGGATTCTCCCTGGGCAACCTCCCCCTCTCTCAGGGACATGGGAGTTGGGCCTGGCCAATCAGAGCACAGAACACAGTGCCACAGTAACTAGTTCAGGGAAGGGCAGGGGTTCAACCTGAGCCAGCAAAAGTCAGGCCAAACTTGGACTCAAACTTTCAAGGAAGAGAAGTGCTCTCTTTTCTTCTTGCCTGGGAGTTGGAGGGTGGGATGGGGTGGCTATCTTGCCCCTCTGAGGGGAGAACTTCTGGAAAGTGACTACGAGTAGAGGAAAGCAAAGGGAGGTATCATGAGAGATGGGCATCTGTTGGCATTTCAGCTGTGTCTGAAACCACCTAGACTTCTTAATTATGTGAATTATCTGCCACTCACACGCAAAAAAAAAAAAAAAAATGGCTGTTTTAAGAAATGACATAATTATAAGTTCCCACTCCGAGAATCATGCACAGTCTGGGTGGGCATGAGCATCTGTGTTTTTAAAAGGCTCCTAGGTGATTCTGACTGCTTGGCAGGTCTTGGAGCCACTGACTGAGGATATCCTGACTGAAGGTGCTTATGATGCTTCTGTTTTATCTTAATAAAAAGTGTCAAAGAGCACACAGAACCAGAATTAAATGATGTGTGTCATGACTTTGTGATAATGTAAATGTGTTTTCAACATTGACAATTTGTTTTTTTCTTTGATAAATTTCCTGATGCTGTGCCTCTATGTACACGTGTGTACATGTGAGCATGTATGTGTGCATGTGCATATGTGTAGGCAAAGTGCATGTGTGCATGAGCATGTGTGTGTGTGTGCACACATGTGTTTGCGCACTTGCATATGTGATGTCGTTATTGCTCTGGTGCCTGAGGCATGGCTGGTGAGGAGCTATAAAGATAGGTGGGAGTGAAGGAGGCCTGGCAGCACCTCTACAAGTGTCCATAGCTGCTGAGCTGGTGAGTCCAGGCACCACACCAGCCAGCATTTTCTAGCTCCTACAAGAGCCAAAGATGGCTATATATGCACCAGGGCCTGGTTTAGGGTCTTTTTTTTAAAAAGAATTTTTATTGTGATTTGGGTGAAAGTTTACAGAGCGAATTTACTTTCCATACCATAGCTCACAGACACTTTGTCTCATGACATTGACTGCAATTTCCCATAATGCAACAGCTTCCCTTCCACTTCCTCCCCATGCACTCCTGCCTCCCAAGCTGTCTCCCTGTACATGCACAGCCCTTCTATTCTCCAATGATTGATCTCTCCAAGGAGAGACCCTTAATTAAATGTTCATCTCATATGCCTGTCTTTTTTTGGCTGAAGGCCACAGGAGTGGGTTCAATTCCAGCTGGTCTAGGGTCTTAAGCTGATGGGCCTCTCTGTGGTCTTTTTCTTTTTTTAAAATTTTTTAATGCATTTTATTGAAATATTATTTATGTGCAGTGAAGTACACAAAACTAAAATGACATTGGTCAATACTTTTTTTTTTTTTTTTGCAGTGTTCTTTCCCCTCCCCTCCCACTCCTGGCAACCAACAAAGTTTCCCTCCATATACAAACCTTTCCTTGACCCTCCATAACAATGAACTAATACTGTATTTGTCCTTCTGTGATTGGCTTATTTCACTCAGTATAATGTCCTCCAAGTTCATCCACATTATGCGATGTTTTGCAGACTCTACATTATTCTTCAGTGTTGCATAGCATTACATTATATGTATGTACCATAGTTTGGTCATCCACTCTTCTGCTGATGGGGCATGTGTGTTGTTTTCATCTTTTTGCTATTGTAAATAGTGCTGCAATGAACATGAGTGTGCACATATCTGTTCCTGTCCTGGGTCTCACCTCTCTAGGATATATATCTAGTAATGGAATTACTGGGTCAAATGGTATCTCCAATTCCAGCTTTCTAAGGAATCACTATATTGCTTTCCATGGTGCTTGTATCACTTCACAGTCCTCCCAGCAGGGTATGAGAGTCCCAATCTCTCCACATCCCCACGAGCATTTGTTATTTTCTGTCTCATTGAACCATGCCATCAGTGTTGGGGTGAGACAGTATCTCATTGCTGTTTTGATTTGCATCTCTCTGATGGTCAATGATCATGAGCATCTGTTCATGTATTAGCTGGCCACCTGAATATCCTCCTTGGTGAAGTGTCTATTCATGTTTCTGCCCATTTTTCAATTGGATTGTTAATTCCTTTGCTGTTGAGGCATTGAAGTTTTCTATAAATCTTAGAGATAAGTCCCTTGCCAGATATGTAATTATCGACAAGTATGAATTTGTTGCTGTCATTTTTGTTATGTACTTTTTCATGGTGTCGATTTCCTTGTTCCATATCATTTTCTGTGCTGAGCTTGTTTTGTTTATGAATCATGTTATAACTTCCTTTGCCGCTATTGTTTTGTTGTTGTTATGTGCCATCGAGCCGGCCCCGACTCATAGCGACCCCTCCTTGGGTTTCCGAGGCTGTATCACTACGGAAGTAGATTTCCCAACCTTCCTTCCGAGGAGTGGCTAGTGGGTTTGAACTGCCAGCCTTCTGGTTAGCAGT